ATTCCTTCCTTAATCTGAAGGTCAAGGAATAATTCAGTTAAAGTGCAAAACTCTTTATGCAGGTTTTAAAGCCCAAGACAGCCAGGCTGAGAAGGTGGGGAGGGTAGTTGCATGCCACCAGCTCTCAGAGGACAGAGAGGCCCAGTCTTCATCTCCTGGGAAGCATCTGATTAAAAAAAGAGAAAGAAAAAAGAATATGTGCCCAAAGCAGGTTATTTGTTGTCTTTTTTACTGGATGGCCCTGCATATGTAGTTGCTGCTGTGTGTGTCACATCAGCTGGAGATGGTGGCCCTTTGTGAGAGGGAGTCTGGGCTAAAACACCTGCCTCAACTCGCTTCCCTCTCCTCACCACGCCCCACCCCCAGCGACGCTCCAGGGAGGGCAATGACCATGATGGGGAAGTGCCTGTGTAGGGCAGCCAACTGTCCCAGATGGCCCAGGGCATGCCAAAATCAGGGTAGTCCCAGGCAAACCAGGACGAGCTGGTCACTCTACATCCAGAAGACACATCAGCCCCCTGGTCCAGGGACTGGCCCATGTCTACTGGAACACATATGCTGGTGCCCCTGAGCCTGCTGGAACACATATGCTGGTGCCCCTGAGCCTGCTGGATGCAGTGGGAAAAGTAGACTTGGAATCAGCCATATTTGGATTTGAAGCCAGCTTGTCCTGTTACGGTCGGCAGGATGCCTATCCCTAGGCCTTTGGGGGCTTATCTGGGAAACCTAAAAAACAGGATTGGTATGGAAATTGAGGAAGACCGGGCCCACAACCAATGGCTGGCCTTTTCCTCCCCATAGTGAAATCATCGTCCGGCTCTTACACGTTGTGTGAATAATGCCTGGCGTCTCCATAGGCTTCAGGGTTTCTAGCATGCTTCCACGTATGCCGTCTCACTGGAGGATTCACAAGTGAGACAAGGAGTATCATCAGCCCTACTTTAGAGACCGGGGAAGGGGGCCAAATGGAGAAGAGAGGCTCCAAGGTCATGCACCTGGCAAACAGGGTATCAACCCACATCACCTGTTTCCATTCTGCTACTCCACACCTCCTACAGTTTCAACCAAATCCTCAGCAGTGGGGAACAGGTGCAGCTAAGTCTGGGAGTTTCCCAATATAAGGAGGTATGGAGGAACCTGTTTTCCAGCAAATTCACTCAGCTATGTGCCGCCACGGGGAGCCTGGGGCCCAACCCCGGGGACCAGGCAGAGTTCCAGACTGCCTAATCAGATAATTCTGCCCTTGTGCTCCTGTTTTGTACATTCTTGGAGTGAGCCATTCAAACGACAGCACCTGCAGAGTCAGGGCTAGTGCCCTGTCAGGTAGAAATGTCAATTCTCGATTATTCCCCACTGCTTTGGACAGAAGACTGGGAGAATGACTAACTGGCATTCAACACAGCTTGATTTTATTGAACGTCTCCTCCAAGGAGGTGTGTGGGATGTGACACTTGGGTCACTGCTGGGTTGGGGGGATGAAGGGACAGTGTGGCTGAGAATCTCAATCCAATGAACATGTCTCCAGTGAGAGGCTGCTCTTGGGGATGGTGCCTTCAGAAGCGGGCTTCCTCCTTTGTCTGCCAGGCTCCATTGGTGCAGAATGCCTTCCCTCCTACAGCATGGCCTTTTACCAGACCTGCTTCCTCTCGCATCCCTCTCCAGTCCATTTTCCAAGGGCAGTCAGCTTGAGAACCTTCAGACCTCAAAGCGTCCTACCCTTCCGACTGCACCTCCCATCCCAGGCCCTCATTCAATGGCTCATTTCCTTTTCCTGAGCATCCCAATTCCTTCCCATCTTGGTTGGGAATATAGAGGGAATGCCAAGGCCAACTCATCCCAGTGCTAGCTTAAGTTTCTCTTTCTCAGGAGTCCATCTCTGGCCATCTTACCCAAAGTAGGCCAAACCACCACCCCCACCACCCAGCCATAGTTAATCCCATTACCCTATTTTAATTTCTTCATGGCTCTTGTCTCTCTAAGAAATTCTTCTTCATTGACTTCTTTGCCACTTGCCTCCTCCTATCAACATATAAATGCCATAAGAGAAAGGACTTTGTCCACTGTGTTCTTGTCTTTATCTCTGGAAGATACTAAAACCATCAAAACTCAAGTATTTGCCAAATCTTAAAGAATGTGTTTGTCTCTACCTAAAACAAAGTGGTTGTGAACACAGGCTTAAAGTCAAGGGGACCTGTGAGATCATCCCACTTGCCATCTGACCTCTCTGAACTTCACAGACTAACAGAATCAAGAGCTCACTGGTAGTTGTCATTACTAATCTAAAGTTGTGTCACCCTCAGGAGTCCAACACCCCTGATGGCAGGCATTTTGGAATTCACTTGTGCCCACGTGCCTTCAAACTTCCCCTAGGCACCCTCTACTTCCCCTTCTTTCGGGACATGTCATACTGTCCTAAGAAGTCTACTTATTTATCTGTCTCCTCCACTACACAGAGCCTCATGGGGACATGAATACCTATAAAACCCAGCATGCTGCCTGTTGAATTTGTAGAATGAATGTGTGGTATATAAGACAAGTAGGTACCTAGTACATCTTCAAGAAATATGTTTTGAATCAAGCTCTCTCTAAAAAAGACATTTTAAATACATGAATTAAAGAATAATACCAGGTGGTATTTGACCAAGGGCTGAATTACATACAATCAAGTGATACAATGTGTAGGACAGAACTTGAATAGCCAACAGAGAGATCAGAGATAGCCAACAGAGGTTCCCCAGGCCAGCCAAGAACTAGGGTAGTTGAGGTGGGTAGGATGGGATGGGGGCCAGCTGGAGTACATCTCATCTCCAAGGCAACAGTTGCTTAGTTCTAGCTCCTTGTTGCCATCACAGAATGTGGGCCTGATGGGCTTACATAGTTACCTTTTTCAAGTAAAGTTGGAAATCTAACCTTGAGACTTCCCAAGGCTCCAGATTGTTGACAGCTAATTTAACTTTAAATTCATTAAACGATTGAGATGAGCAAAGAATGTTTGAGAGCACTTACATAACCTCTGACCGATCAAGAGCCCCAGGTGACTGGACGGAGGTTGGGCCCTAATCAGGAATTAATGGAAGAAGCTATGCAGGAGGCAGGTTATCACGATGGCCCAGTATACTGCTAAAGCCTTCATCAAGCACTTATTGAGCACTTATTACCTACCAAGCATTGCGATATAAAAATGACTAAGAACCCGATTCCTCTGAGACTTTCAATTCAAGAAATGCTGTTGAGCCATGATCACATAACCGGAACGCAGCTCCTCAAGACAAGGGGACAGGCACCTAGACAAGTAGGTGTCGTTTCCTCCTCATTAGATCTTTGTCCCAGAGTGCTGGAAGCAAACTGTCCTACCTCCCTGTCCTTCTGTGGTTTCTCCCATCCCCAGCCACCGTACCCAGTACCAGCTGGGGCAAAGTGGCCTACTGCTACTGACCCCCCACAAAGGTTTCTCAAGCTAACAAACATGGAATGACTCGCCATTCCCTCTGTAAGCCTAACCCCTCTCTGTAAAATGGGTACCTCCATGAGCTCACATGGTGGTGACACACAGCATTCAGGTAACAGCAGCACCTCAGAGCATGTGCCTGAGGCTGTTTAGAAAATATTTTAATTTCGTCTGCACAGCAGGCACACAGAAGTCTCTTTTTTGGCCTAACTTATACTGTGATCTCGGACTTGCTGAAGGACTTACTTCTATCACAGCCCTGCCAATATTGATTGTTGGGGCTCAAAAGCACGTAAGTAGATTGATTTTTTTTTTTTTTCCCCTCAAACTAAAAAGGATCGCAGTAGTATTAGTATATTCCTGTTTCCACTGGTTGGTATGCACACTGAATAAATAATAGTGTTACCTGGAAAAACTTAGTTAAAAGAAACAGTGATGGATAACAGGGTAGAAGAGGTCTTAAGTTGCATTCTTAATTCCACTACAAATTAGTCTGGTGTTCCAGTGAATGCCCGGGCTTGTCTATTAACAACGCTCCACCCCCACTCCAATCTACTGTTTTTTAAAAGAAAACACTATGGTAACCTGCCTCTTAGGTAAGGAACAAAACAAAGGAAAAAGCAAAACACACACAGGCAAATACAAAAAATGAAAAAGCAAAATCAGCTTGGTGGGAGCAAGTGTCCCCTTGTAGTGAGGTTAATAGGCAACACTCCTCTCCTGTCACTTCTTCTGTTAGTCAGCAAGGAAATACATCCACCAGAGGCCTCTGCAAATTTGTTCTTAATTTAAGGTCAATTAGACAATTCCTACATCCCCTATTCTCAAGAAAAACAATGAGAGCAAATGCTTCCTCTAACTACCAGATGACCTGGTAACTCTTGAAACAAGAGGTTATGAAATCTACTTTGTGCTAACTTCCAGGGACATGTAACAAAACAGAGCGCAGGGCTTGGAAGCAAGCCAGCAACTAAGACTTGGTTCTGTTTTATACTGTTTCCTTTCTGTGAACTTTTTCCCCCACCGGAAAGCTTCACAGCACTCATTCCAGAAACACCTTTAAACTGAAACGCTTCTCCAGCTGTCCCAGTAAAAAATTCTTTCTGCGACCTTTGGTAAGAAATACATTCTAGGAAAGAAAAGAAAGGAGCAAACGTCTGTTTACTACCTAGTGACTATTCGTCTCTCTCCAGGTCTCCGGGGGGAAAAAGAGGCGAAGGGGGAACAAAACAAACGCCAAAACTCATTCCCTCTCTCATCTCTACACTGGCAGGGGGCGTATGCCTCCCAAAGTCTCTTTAAAGCCGTCAGCTCCGAAAAATACGAACTGAGCAAGCCTCGAAGACCTCCCAGAGCAAGCCCTAGTTCTAAGAAGGCAAGCGGGATTACCCTACGCGAGCGCAGACCCGGGCGATCAGGATATCAGGAAGCCCGCCCTTGATTACTTACCAGCAGGATTTAAATCAGCTCCGACGCGGGGGCGTAGTTTGGGCGGGGCTCCGCGGACCTGGGGGGCGGGGCGGGGCGGGGCGGGGCGGGGCGGGGCGGGGCGGGGGCGGGGATCCCGGAGGCTCTGCGCGGTGTGGGAAAGACCTGGGCTCCGGGAGCGAGCGTCTGTCTCTTTAAATGCCAGGGGCTGCGCTCCCGCCCGAAGAGCCTGGAGCCGGATCTACAATCCCGTCCCTCCCGCTCCCGCGCTTGTTGCTCGCCGGGTCCGAGCGGGAGCTGCCGCCGCCGGGCAGCAAGGCTGCTTCCTTCTCCGCCTTCTCGAGCCCCACCTCCCCCGAAAGCAGGTTGAAGGGGAGCAGCAGCCCCAGCAGGAGTGAGGGGTGCGGTGTAAACAGGCATTGCTCCTCACCTTCAAGTCTTGGAGCGCTACGTAGCCGCGGGGGCAAGACATGCTTCGCTCCCCCCTGCCCAGCCCTGTGGCCACCGGCGCCCGGAGAGGAGGGATTGCGGATCCCACACCTGCAAACTCACCGTAGAAGTCTCAAGGTGCGGCTGGGGGGAGGGAGCCAATTCCCCAAGGCCGCCACCTCTCTGCGGGTGAGTATTCGCAGGTAACCCGAACCGAAGGGCGGGCGAGCGCTAGGGGGAGGGGCGGGCGAGACGGAAGGAGAAAGCGCCCCAGGTGAGCCAGGTAGGGCGGCTCACTTGCACCGGCCGAAAGCTGCGAGATCTCCGCCGGTTTCCCAGAGGATGGAGGCTTGTGAGCCGTCTCGGGGGCTGTTAGGACCCTGGGGTGAAAGGAAGGTTAAGAAAAGGGGGATTGGAGTAAAGTTTCTCTTCTTTCCCCCTCCTGCCTGGGTTTGGCAGGTAGGGCGCCGGCGGAAGCGGTAGGAGCTGCTGATGCAATGGGCGTTTGCCCGGGCGAGGTGAAGTGCTGGGGGGCGGGGTAGAGCTAGGGTTGCCCTGCCTCCTGTGACCGTGACCCTAGAGGTGGAGAAATGAGGGAAGGCTCACCACATCCGAGCTTCCCTGTAAAATGGCTCCAGGTGCTCCGCTCCCAGCCCTTCCTCCTTTTATGAAATCCTTTTCATGGAGGGGCTCCTACATGGCTTCCTTGCTTTCCTCTCCCAACAGGTGGTCTCCGCCCCTGTCCGGGGACCCGTGCCAATGAACCTAGTGGTGGTTTCGCTTTCTCGCCTCTCGGCTGTGTGAACGTGTATCTGCTGCGCGATGGGTAACCAGGTGGAGAAACTGACCCACCTAAGTTATAAGGAAGTTCCCACGGCCGACCCCACCGGCGTGGACCGGGACGACGGGCCCCGCATCGGGGTCTCCTACATCTTCTCCAACGACGACGAGGACGTGGAGCCGCAGCCGCCGCCCCAGGGACCGGATGGCGGCGGCGACGGCTTGCCCGACGGCGGGGACGGGCCACCCCTGCCGCCGCCGCAGCCCTACGACCCGCGACTGCACGAGGTGGAGTGTTCCGTGTTCTACCGCGACGAGTGCATCTACCAGAAGAGCTTCGCGCCGGGCTCCGCGGCGCTGAGCACCTACACGCCCGAGAACCTGCTCAACAAGTGCAGGCCTGGCGACCTGGTGGAGTTCGTGTCGCAGGCACAGTACCCGCACTGGGCTGTCTACGTGGGCAACTTCCAGGTGGTGCACTTGCACCGGCTGGAGGTGAGCAACAGCTTCCTGACGGATGCGAGCCAGGGCCGGCGCGGCCGCGTGGTGAACGACCTGTACCGCTACAAGCCGCTGAGCCCCGGCGCGGTGGTGCGCAACGCTCTGGCACACGTGGGCGCCAAGGAGCGCGAGCTGAGCTGGCGCAACTCGGAAAGCTTCGCCGCCTGGTGCCGCTACGGCAAGCGCGAGTTCAAGATTGGCGGCGAGCTGCGCATCGGCAAGCAGCCCTACCGGCTGCAGATCCAGCTCTCGGCGCAGCGCAGCCACACGCTAGAGTTCCAGAGCCTGGAGGACCTGATCATGGAGAAGCGGCGCAACGACCAGATCGGGCGCGCGGCGGTGCTGCAAGAGCTCGCCACGCACCTGCATCCGGCCGAGCCTGACGAGGGCGACAGCGACGCGGCGCGGACTACGCCGCCTCCGGGGCGCCCCCCGGCGCCGGGACGGGAGGATGAGGCCCGGGAGGCGGCGGTGCACTGAGGGGCGAGCTGAGTGCGGAGTCTTGAGAGGGAGCCTTTCGGACCAGCCGCCGCTCCCCCTTGCCTTCTCTCACTCCCTCCTTCAGTACCTTCCAGGCCCCATCTGGGCTCCTGGGCCATTTGGAAAAAAGGAGAGTTGGCGAAATGTGCAGCCAGCTGTGGCTTGAGCTTGTTACGGTGGACAGAGGATTAAGAGGGAGCAGGTAGGAGCACTGGGGCCGGTTGGGGGGGCACTTCTTGCCAGTCCTCTGGATCTGTCTTCCTTTCTGACCAGGGCAAATGGTGGACTTGCCTGACACTTAATTTTTGCTGTACCTGGGTCCAAAACCGACCCTTTTTAGGCTCTCGGGGTGGAGGAAAGTTAAGAGTACCAGTGCCCGCCATTGCCTCCTCCCTGCTTCCTCTCCTCCCCTGGGCTTGGAGGGGGCTCTGTACTGAGGCCTGGGAGGGTTTGTGGCTGAGCCCTGCCAAGCACCGACAGCCGCAGATCTGCTACCTCCATCCCCCAGGGGTGTTGTGGGATGTGGGAGGCCCGGGTGATTTACTGTGGGGGCTTGCTGGGATGTAAGATTGGAGAGACCAGGCCCGGGTCTGGGAGCAGCAGACCACAACCCAGCAGCCCCCTGTGAGGTATAATAAATAGTTGGGTAAACTTGGGCTACAAAACAAAGACTTTGCTACCTCCCTCTCGCCCCCCACCCCCAGGTAATTCATCTTCTGGAGCTGGCTTCTGGCGCAGTCTCCTGCTCCCTCCTGTTCCAGCCACCACTTCCCAGGTTTCAAGTAAATCATTGTCATGGGCCAGCTAGGGGAAGGATTCAATTGTGATTCTGTTTTGCCGCCTTTGTTTCTGGCCTGCTTTGGTGTAGGCACTTGGATCCCCGTTGTTATCAAAGGAGGGAATGGCCCTTTGTGTCTCTGATCTAATTAAACCTGCTGGGCTGTGTTCATCCGCAGGTCACACGGGGTTGCCTCCTGCCACCCAATAAAGTATTCACTGCAGAAGCAGCCAGATGGAATTGCCCTGGCAGAAATTAGTTAATTTCTCACCCATCACCTAACCCCCTTCCTGAACAGTGAAGGTAACCTTTTGTAAACTGTAGGGCCTGTAATTTTCTTTTCTTTTCTTTTCTTTCTTTTTTTTTTTTTTTTTTGCCGTCTCTCGGTCCCATCCCCCTCACTCACTTTTTTTCTGCGGGTGATAAAATCTTAGGCTTGAGGTCTATTCAATGATAAGGTGTTTGTTTTGCTAGCCACACCTCATGCAATTTAAATCCAGACGCTAAGTCTTGTTACACTGCAGCAGTCTCTTTGTTTCTTGGAGAACACCCCCGCCCCCACCTTCAGAGTGATTTTGCCATTAAGAGGGGTAACAGCCATCACCAATTAAATGCCACCTGGTAGAGTCAGCACCGAATCTGGTGACAGTCCTGAGGCACAGGTTGGTGGTTGTGAGATCTGACGCAGCAGGCTGGCCTCTGCTCTTTGGGTCTGCCGCTGATCTTGCTTCCTGTACTGTGGGGCTTCTAGAAATTTTTACAGCCCATCTCTTGTCTTCAGGCGAGCACTTGGTTGATGTGTGTCCTAGATTTCACAGTGCTGCCTTGCTGCAGATTGACATTGCTAATTCCGTCCCAAAAGTTGCGTGAAGTTTTCCTTTCTTTTGGGAGTCATTTTAGATGACACTGAGCAAGTCCTTTTTTGAAGAAATTCTTAAAGTTGGAATGGAATCCTACTTGAGTTGTCCTATATTGCTGTGGACATCCTTAGGCCTTCTCCATGGGGATTTCTAACTCATGCAACAAGACTTGAAGGATTTCCTTGTATACTTTTTTCAAACTTGGAAGTTGATGCCATAATTTTTAAAAGCCTAGACCGTCGTAGCACCTCAGTAGGAAATAATTTAATTTTAGGGGCATTAGCTATGTTCCCTGTTCTCACAAGTATCACCAAGCAGGTCCTGTCCCTTTGCTAAAGATGAACCACACTCAGCCCTAGTCTGGGACTTTGGAGAGATGTCTGTCACCTGTGCGAAATGTAGATGTAGTTTTCATGTGTAATAAGCTCTCAGCTTCATGTTTATATTCTCTTGTTCATGGAAAAGCCAAGCAAGGTAAAAGACATTGAGGAGAGCCTCAGATATCCAACAGATTTGGGTTTTATTTTGTTTTGTTTTGTTCGCTTAACATGGTAGTTGAAAGACCAGTGTGCAGACAGCGAGAGGGGAGAAGAATGACGGTCCAGCAGTTCTGGGCTGGCTAGCCACCTTAGCTCTCCGCCTCCCTATCTCTGGTGGCCTCCTTTGCCCTCAATTAAAAAGTGAATGTCCTTGGTCACACGGAGGTACCCCAGTGACTGTCTTGTTACAAAGGAACTGCTCCTTGTGGGAAGTCTCCACTTGAAGGAAGAACTCTTAATCCACACCAATAGTAGTATTCTGCCTCTAGAGAAGAGGTTTCTGAAAATGAACTAGAAGAGGAAATCCACCCACTCCAGAGACTGCTTTCCTAATTCATGCAAGTATTTTTACTGGCTACCGGAGGTGTGAAGTATTAAATACGAAGAATGATTCCATTGGAAGTTGTCTTCGGGCTCTCTGAGGCTCTAACGTGAATCTACAGCCCAGCAACGGAGGCTTCAAGAAAGGGGAAGCCGTCAGTGCAGCTCTTTCCCCAAGGTGGCAGTGTTGCGGATAAGTGAGTTTTCAATGTCCAGGCTACGGCTACATCTGGCACTTTAAAAAAATATATATATATTTAATAATTTTTGTTTCTCCTTGGGAATAAGACTTTAGAACTATTTTGTACTGTGAATTATGTATGTTCTTTGAAAGAAAAATTGATTCTAACGTTCTTCAGAAGCTGTGGCAGGGATAAGATAAGCAAGACCCCGGACTGGAACACCTACTAAACGTAATGAAACAAATTCTATTTTCTTACTTGAGCAAATATTTTATTGAGACTGCTTATGTATGTCCAAGGAGCCCGCAACATCAGCTACACAACTTTTTGTATCGAAAGAACTCGTACTTTTTGTAGCTTTTATTCCACATGTAATTTAAAATGACTTTAGCACTAAAATGCCTATAGAAGACGACTTGACACCAGACCTTTAAGGAAATTTTTAGTTTTTATGAAAAATGACACTTCAGTGGTTAACCTTCTCGTGTCTTTGGTGCTTCTGGCCCTAAGAGCAGCACTAGACAACACGACAACCACGTGGAAACATATTTTTGAAAGCAAAACTTTAATTTTATACGACATATGCTACAGAGAGTGAAGAAAAATTAATGACTAACCATTTTCTATTTTTTTTTCTTAACAAAATGGAATCCACTGTGTCGAAGACTCTTGATACTAACATGATTGTCTAATCATTTTTTTTAAATAAATTAGAATAAAATCTATAATCACGGTCTTCAAATGGTTTTGTTTGGGAAGTTACATTTGTGAATTTTTTTTTTTTTTTAAATCATGGTAACTATAAACTTGACTGGTTCATTCAGATGTTCACTATGTTTTGTTCTTAGCTGTAATTTTTGTGACCCATGGAGAATTACATTGACTAACATGGTAAATTCTATGTATATTTTATTTTCTAGTGAATTGTGTAAACTGTATTTTTGTTGAAGAATGTATGTTAAATCAATGTTACATTCTCATACCACTTCTTGAGAAGGAGGTTCTGCTTTGAAATTTTATCATTTCCTTCAAAATGAAGGGCAGTGTTTAGTTAAATAAAAGATTGATGACATCTTTTGAACCAGTTCCTCTTCACTGTCTTATTAAAATAAAATCTGTCAAGTCTTTTAACGCTCTAAGGGTTTCCAATAAACCATCTCTTAGTGTTAACTGAATTTATATTTTTTTCCACTTGTATACCTCTTTCTGCCATATGTGGTTCAACAATTTTTTTTTTTTTATGTTTTGTTTATTTCTTTGACACAGAGAGATCACAAGCAGGCAGAGAGGCAGGCAGATAGAGGGGGAAGCCGGCTCCCCGCTGAGCAGAGAGCCCGATGTGGGGCTCAATCCCAGGACCCTGAGACCATGACCTGAGCCGAAGGCAGAGGCTTTAACCCACTGAGCCACCCAGGTGCCCCTCATTCAACAATTTCTGAGAATATTAGTGGGTCGTCTCATCTTTACACTGCTCAGTAAACATTTTGAAGAATTCATATAGTGACAAAGCCCTCCCTGCATTTGCTCTGTAAGAATTAATCACCCATTGCTCCTAGGCTCTCAGTGTTCATGAAAAATGTCTCATAAACAAATTTTCGGTACACATTGATTTTCAGAGGCAATGCAAACATTGCTGATCGCCACACTCCCATGTTGGGAGTCTACGCTGGGACGTTTTGGTATTAAGATCTTGCATCTTGGGTGATTTCAGTTTCAGACAAAGGGAATGCACTCACTGGGTAATTGAATTACAGAAAGCAGACAAATGTGACCACATGGCACTGTTGGCATAGCAAGGGAGGCAGGTGCCAGCAGTGGGTAGAGGAGCAGATGTGGCATCTGGGACTGGTGTGGGAGGCCACCAGCACTCCTTTGGCCAGCTTCTGAAGCAACTGCCCTAGTCGTGTGAGGGTCAAAAGCCCAGGCTTTGTCAACAGGCTCTTAGAGACTTTTAGGTAGGAAAAACCGGGAATGCCAAAGGTGTTTGGGAACTCAGCAACAGGGAGGCCATTTATCCCTAGAATGGGAGTCCTTAATTTATCATGGTTGTCCTTGCACAAGAAAGTAAAGGGAGGCGAGACTTATACAGAATGTGCTTTTATTCTTGGGTGATCTTGGTGTAGGCTTCTGTTCTAATTTTTTCTAAGTGGACCGAGCTAATGTAAGAAGATGACATGTTCAGAAGCATTTAAAAGGACTTCCAAAATGAACAGACCCAGAATACATGCAGAAGGGCTTTTATTTCCTTTTACTGAATTTTTTTTTTTTTTTAATTTAACAGAGATCACAAGGAGGCAGAGAGGCAGGCAGAGAGAGAGAGAGAGAGGAGGAAGCAGGCTCCCCGCCAAGCAGAGAGCCCGACGCGGGGCTCAATCCCAGGACCCCGGGATCACGACCCGAGCCGAAAGCAGAGGCTTTAACCCACTGAGCCAAACTGCTTATTGAATAAATGTAGCCATTTTATCTGCAGAGTAGATGGAAGAATGATTGGTGTGTACTTGCAATCACAAGATACTGCTAGGTATTTATGAATAGT